GGTAAGCCGGGGCAAGATTATGCAGTGATTTAAAAACAAACATAAGAATTTTAAAATGAATCCTAAAATATACAGGCAGCCAGTGAAGTGAAGCCAGGACAGGGGTCACATGTTCCCTCTTTCGAGTTCCTGTTAAAAGTCGTGCAGCAGCATTCTGAACCAGCTGCAGACGTGAGAGCAGCAACTGACTGACTCCCAGATAAAGTGCATTACAGTAATCCAATCGAGTCGAAATAAAGGCGTGGATCACCATTTCAAAATGCTGTCTGGAAAGAAAAGACTTCACTGACGCCAATCGCCTTAAATGATAAAAGCTGGACTTAACCACGGCTTTGATTTGGCTGTCCAATTTAAAATCACTGTCCACCTTAAAACCAAGATCTGTAATAACAGGTTTAAAATATTTCTCCAAGGGTCCCAGGTTAATAGAGGAGGACTCACAGGAGCCACTGGGTCCAAACACCATCACCTCGGTTTTGTTTTCATTAAAATTTAAAAAGTTCAAGGCCAACCAAGCTTTAATATCTCCTAGACATTCCAGGAGATGTGTGAACGTATGTCCATCCTTCTGCTTTAGGGGTAAATAAATCTGACAATCATCAGCGTAACAATGGAATGAAATCCCATGTTTCCTAAGGATAGAACCCAGAGGCAGTAAGTACAACGAGAAGAGCATAGGGCCCAGAATTGAGCCCTGCGGGACACCATATTGCATTGGAACTGAAGATGATTCAGAGTCATTAATTTTCACTGAAAATGTTCTCTCCTCCAAGTAAGACTTAAACCATTTAAGAACAGTGCCATCAATACCAACAATATGTCGTAATCGCGATATTAAAATGTTGTGGTCCACTGTATCAAAAGCAGCAGTTAGGTCAAGTAAAATCAGAACAACATGATTACCAGAATCACAATCAAGAAGGATGTCGTTAAAAACTCTAATTAAAGCAGATTCTGTACTGTGGAGAGTTTTAAAACCTGACTGGAAAACCTCCAGAATGCCATTGTCATTTAAAAACTGTGTCAGCTGACAGTATACAAGTTTCTCTAAAACCTTAGAAAGAAAAGGCAGCTTTGAAATAGGCCGATAATTAGCCAGAACAGTTGGATCAAGGCCAGGTTTTTTAAGCAGGGGCTGCACCACTGCATGTTTAAAACTAGCAGGGACCACACCTGAGGACAGACTGCCATTTAAAATTGCAAGAACAGGCAGCCCTATGCTAGATAAAATATCTTTAAAAAGTCGTGGAGGGACAGGATCACGTGGGGAACCTGATGGCTTAATGCGGCCAACTACGTCCTCTAAAAGTGAAACAGTCACAAGCTCAAACTGATTAAAAACAGCAGAGCAAGGGACTGAAACTGAGGGGTCAGAGTCAGGAGCTGTAATAAGAGCCCTGGTACTACCAACCTTTTCAATAAAAAAACGCAGAAAATTTTCACACATGCCAGGAGAAGCTTCCAAACAGGCATTTTGTGGAATATTAAGTACAGAGTCAATGGTGTCAAATAAAATACGTGGGTTATGGCTGTTTGAAGAAATAACACTAGCCAAATATTCCCTTTTTGCTTCTTTAACCGTGCTCTGGTAGAGACGCCAACAGTCTTTTAAAATCTGAAAAGTAGCCTGCAGTTTGTCCTTTTTCCATCTGCGTTCAATACGACGACATTCCTTCCTTACAGCACGAGTTCTGTCATTAAACCAAGGCTCAGGTTTAATCCTTGGCTGCCTAGTTTTTAACGGAGCAACCGAGTCCAGGATGGTCTGACAGGAAGAACAGAACCATGACCAGAGCTCTTCTGTATTGGAGTGGAGGAAGTCAGATGATCCACAGAGCTGAAGAAAAGCAGCAGAGAACTGAGTGGCAGTGGAAGGGTTAATAATCCGACAGCGCCGAACAGCAGCGCGAGTTTTAACTGTAGTAGGTGTCAAAGTGACACTGAATAAAACAGGCAGGTGATCCGAGAACACAGCGTCACAGATTTCCAGATTAGTCACTGGCAGACCACAGGAAATAACCAGGTCCAATGTGTGTCCATGTTCATGTGTAGGGCCGGATACGGCCTGTACCAGATTAAAAGAGTCCAGAAGGCTTAAGAAGTCCTTTACCAGAGGCTTATCAGGACAGCACACGTGCAAATTGAAGTCTCCAACAAAAAGAACTTTGTCATAATTAGTTAAAATCCCAGATAAAAAGTCAGAAAAGTCACTTAAAAAATCCTTATTATATTTGGGGGGCCGGTAGACGACAGCACAGAAAACTGGGTTTACGTGTCTCATCTCAAAAGATGTAAACTCAAAGCTGGGCAAAGACGTCTGTAGAAAACACTGCTTACATTTGTAGTCCTGTTTGTAAACAGTTGCTGTGCCTCCCCCTCTCCCCGAGGCCCGTGGTGAATTAAAATAAGCACAATTTGCTGGTAAGAGCTCAGATAGAGCGCTGTACTCACCAACACTCAGCCACGTCTCAGTCACAAACAAACAAACAATATCAAAACACTCGCAGCTACAACTACAGAAAAACACTCGCAGCTACAACTAGAGCAAAACAATCGCAGCTACAACTACAGAAAAACACTCGCAGCTACAACTA